CGCAGTAGATTAAATGCATCGTTGATTTTAGCGTGACCGATCTCATGCAAGGCTGGGCAAATGAATAAATTAAAGCGAGAAACTAAACAAGAAGACGAAGCGATTTAATAACAAGATTTTTATTCTTGATGTTAATCCTGAACATTCCCACCATTTCTTTCTAAGCAAACTGCGGCTCGTCTGAGCATGGTAAACACTGAACGGCGAACCACATTTGTCTGTCCTGCCTCAAATTATCCATTTCGTTCGAAATTCTTTCTTGCAAATCTCCTATGCTACCACCGGCAAATCTAGGCGAATGGACAGACAAATGGTTCGCTGTTCAGTGTTTAGTATGCTCAGACAAGCCGCAGTTTGCTTAGAATGAAATGGTGGACATGCTGAGGATTAACATCACGAATAAATCGCTTTGTATTTGTGTTCAGTTTCTCGCTTTAATTTATTCATTTGCCCACCTTGTATGAGATCGGTCACGCTAAAATCAACGATGCATCTGATCCACTGCGCGCAATGAAATATTTGTCACTTTTAGGGTCGCGCGTTGCTCCCAGTATGCATTATTTTTCCGGAAACTTTGACAGTTTATTAAAAAGCTTTCCTACTTTTTGACAGCTAAATAATATCTCAATTTCAGCTTCACATTTTCGCGCGCAAGCTCTCTCAATATCAGTGGAAAGGAACAACCCCCCCGGTAACATAATTTTGTTAATGAAAAACCAAACTTGGCCTAGGTATACCAGATAAGTCTTAACTATCTCTAGGAACACAAAATTTTGCCAAATTCTGCAAAATATCCTGAAAAACGGAAATTTTACATTTGAGACATTTTTTTTGATACACCCTGTATAGGTCATTATTTGTCAGTATAGCATCAAATGTTAAACAGAGGACATCTCTCGAAGTATAAACTGACAAAACTTTTCGTCTAAACTTCATTCGAGATATTTACAAGTTTTCATGTGTTAATGCATTAAATATATTAAGTGATGCTTTCTACAGTAGCAGAAGTTAGACACCAGCTATTGTACAACATCATGGCCATATATGATGAGTTTTGAAATTTTTATTCATCTAAGACTAAGAGATATATTTACAAGAGTGAAACTTCACTAACTGATGAATTCAAGCTTTCTCTCTTTGCCTGGGCAATGAATTATGGTTTATTTCATGTTATAATGAGATTCTGCTTAGAAGTAAATATAGAAGTATATATGGTTTTTATGGTTTTTATGGTTTTTTAGTCCGATGCTGTACTTTAAATGATGTCGATAGAAATCGCAAGATTGAAATATTATTTAATATATTAGAATAGAATATAATAGAAAATGTCATCTGTAGAAGAAAAACTATTTGTACACGTCGGACAAGAGGTATATGTGCATGCATGGGTGATGGGTGTTTGGCTCCAGGTATAATATCGTCAGTCAGTTTTGTAACTCTTGTGAAGGGTTCTTCATCAAACTATCCTATACAACCTCGTCTTGTTTTTTTATCAATATTAACAGGCATGCATGAAATAAAACCCAAAATATTGCTGTATCGTCTGCATGCATCTTACGTCATTCGGCTAAAATAAATACGCGAGAGGACCGTCGTTTACGTTTAGCAAAGTCACAAGTTAGAGCCAGTTTTGGAAAAACGCTGGTGGCTGGGAGAGTCCATCAAAAACCCTCAGACGACCATTCTATAAGTTAAACATTCTATGGACTATCCATTCTATACAAGTTAAATTATATACAAGTATATCTGGAGTTCTGTATGTTGTTTCTGAGTTTATACAAGGCCAAATAATAAACGAAACGTTGACATTATGGCGTATAGCGTTTCACGTTATCCCATATCGTGTCTTGTTTTGTTTCGTTCACAGAGAATCTTCTTGTCAGTTCATCGCCGGCCATCGCAAGCTCGTGCGCCACTGCTAGTACACTTCCATTCTCATGATTGTGCTGGAAAGTTTTCATCTTGTTCATTCACAGCCACAGGAAACTGTTGGTGTGTCCCTCCAGATCTTTCCTCCATTTGACACATGAATACACTTTTTCAGTCTTCTTTCTGCAGAAAGGGTTTCTGTCTTGCGTAGGTTAGGCTATGTGCAGTGCTCTCTATCGTGTTTGGCAAAATTTTAACATCTCGTATGCTCTTTAAGTATTCATAAATATGTAACCCAATCATAACGCGTCATGTATAGTCACATGGTTGAAAGCTAGTCGCATGGTGTACTATTTTATCATACCGTTGTTGTCTTTGAAATAACTTCGCTGGTGTTAATTAAATTATCATAAAGGCATTGGTAGTTCAGACAACAAACCATGCACATATTCACGGCACAGGTTTCGCGATGCAATTCTAGGGGAGGAAAGCGGGGCGAAGGAACCGATAATACGCAGATAAAAAGCAAGGCAAGTCATATAAATACTGACGCCCTGGGAAGATGCCCCGTGCCAAATACCCGCCTGAGTAACTACGCGAGGTCCAACTCTTTGATATTAACTTATTTTATTATACCAATAAATTATAATACATTTAATATTCTCAGACTGGCCCAACAAAGCTGAGCAGTGAAAGCTGGTCAGTGAAATACTGTGACTATAGTAACCTAGCTAGTTTTGCCAGCTGCGTATCGGTAGGGATGGAGACGGCAACACGGCGAAGCGAACGAGGTTGGCGAAGCGAACGAGGTTGGCGAAGCGAACGAGGTTGGCGATGCGAACGTGCTAAGCTCCATTAAATATTCTTTACCGTCATTTTCAATCATGCGTACCTCCACCAAGATATGGAACCTAAGAGAAGGTAACGGTTTAGTAACCCCTCCAAAAACTGTCTCGAACCGTACAGCAGCGAAGCAACAGCTACAAACGTGTCCGGAGCAGTACGAATGTATCTACGATAAGCCGAACTAGACCAACGTCCTAAGGTTTGAATCAGGTGATCAGGAACTCCCGCGGCAGCAGCAGACACTGATGCGCAAAACTGTGGGAAGAAAATTGACCAGAGAAGCCAGACCGAGTCAATATCACACGAAGGTAGGTATTCACTTGAGCGGCCAGGAGGGGTAAACCATCACTCCACACGAACAAGGGGCCAGCGGCAACACCCCGCAGAGACAGATCATTACGAAGAGCCGCGACTGGACACAGGAAATTCCCAGATGCGCCGATGTAGATAAAACAACCAACATCGTAGCGATCCGTCTCTGATCGCTTGATGTGGACAAGAACTTCTGGAGAAGGATCGCCAGGAGGAAATACGACCTCGAACGGGGACAAGTGACTGGAGGGGTCAAACAGAGCAGCGGAGGTGAACTCGCTAACGCATAAAAAACAAAAAAGGTCAACGAACACGCCGTCCAAAACATGGCAGAATCAAAACCACTCTCGCAGGTGAAAATGGTGTGATGAATGGCAGCAAGGATTTCTCGGGTAACAGGAAGACGAGGAGGTTTCGACAGCCGAGGGAGTGCTGAATGCCTTGCAAGACCCGGCGAAGGCGAGGCGTATTTTCGGTGGGATCGCCGAAACCCCAATCGATGTGGAACGACCGAACCGCAGCCAAATAGACGCCGATAGTGGCGGAGCAAGGGACTGAGTCAACCACGATGCAAACATTATCAGTTGAAACTCCGAGAGAAACAAGCGAGAACGTGAGCAGATCCGTCACCAGCGCTGAGGAGATAGGAGTAGTGTCCGAGTCCGCCGTTGGATGAAAATGACGAAATTCCTGCAAACGAGATCGAGAATACGAATCAGCAGCAGAGTTTTGACGACCAGGGACGTGACGAGCCGAAATGGAGAAGTGAAACAGACAGGCGACTAAGACAAGGCGCCGTAGCAGATGCATCGTTAACCGATCCTTGGATGACCCAGAATTGATAACGACAACCACAGCATCTTTGTCACACAGGAACTGCACCTGAAGACGCTGCCAGTGAATACCCCAAACCAATGGCTCCGACTGAATCCGTTGCGACGATCAGGTCGGGGAAAGCACAGACGGATGGCAACCGGAAAAAACTTACCCCATTCCAGGACTGAAGGAACTCCAACCACCAGACCAGGTCGCGACGAAACTCGACATTTAGGCGGGTTAGATGGGACGGAGACCGAAACGCATATAGAATGTCGATCATATGGCGAAGAAACGAACGACCGGGGGGAACGGCTTTAGTTACGTGGTGAAGAGAACCAACCAAGGGTTCGAGTTCCTTAGGCGAACACGACTTCTTGATCGTGAGGTAAACGAGCCATCCGAGAGACGGAGTCGAGCTCAATACCCAGAAAGGTTAAAGTGGTAGACGGGTGAAGGGGGTGAAGCGGGAGACCCAACCGAGAGAATAAAGCTCTAGCAACAGCAACGCTTTGGGCACATTCGGACGAGTTTGCAGGAGCCAAAATCAAATAATCGTCACGGTAGTACAGGAGATATCGGACGGAGTAGTTGAACTTCAGGATCCATTTCACCAAGTCGGCGACCGAGTTGAAAATAAAGGGAGCGGAACGAAGACCAAACGGTAAAGCAAGGTCAACAAAGAAATTATCCCGCCAATGCATGCCAACGCTCGTCAGGACGCATGGCAAATGTTGCGGTACGCGCACTCATTTGGCCATGAAGGCCCCAGGGCCAAGCTCCACTAGAATTTTCATGGCGTCATCAACAGAGATGTGACGAAGCGAGAATATTTTTTTTTATACAAATTTTAGTTGTTGCTAACGTGGTTCCTGAAGAAACATTGATGTAGCCAATAGGCGCTTCGCTTAGCATCCGGGACTTGAATTTGCCTCCCATCAACGCGCTCCCATTTTCGACTGTTGTTTCCGATGCCAATGCCTCCTCTAGTGTTACTTATAATCTCTATGGTATCAACAAGGAGGAATTTCGTTTTAAACTAATCGACATATTTGTTTACATTTTTTAGGCAAAGCCAATCCGAATGCCTAAATTTTAAATAATTCATGTCAAATGGTATATATTGTACTTTATTATATAGAGTGATAAATAATTAATTAATGTAAAATTAATTTTTCGCTAACAAGCCTAACAGCCCGAGTCGCAAAATTGTCCTTCTGATTTTCGTTTTCTTTTTCAAGATACTTTCGTGTGTTTTCATTTTCCCGGTAATTTTTCCATGGATCATAGCCAAGTTTTGCCATTTTATTAACCTGCTCAGCCATACGTTGTGTTTCTATAAGAGCCTTCACACGATCTTTGAAACCAGGTTTGCCTTGCTTTTCTTCTGATTGAATAAGAAGATCAAGATAATCGACTTGTTGAAGGGGATCTTTCTTCAGAGCGATTTCCGAAAGCCGTTTTAAGCCACGTTGCATTTCTGCCACAAACGCAAGAACAATTTCCTGAGTGTCGTTGAATTCCGCCCGAACACGTTCGATTTCTCCTTCGACTTTGGTTTTCCCTTCTTGGCCATCATATTTTTTTTCGACTTCAACGTTTTCAGTTTCCATTCGATAGGTGTCATTTACATGAATTGACCAGTGACAGTGATTGGGGCATTCCCTGCATTGTCCTTTTTTCATGGCTGCGCAGCGTTCTTTATCTTCACTCCTTGGGATACTGCAAGGGTAATGGCAGGTATAATTGCAAGTGGGACAGTTGGTTACGTACGTACCAGAGTCCAGTGGAACTTTCACTCTTCTTTCTTCAGTTACAGTGTACTTAAAGTTTTTGATGTCGTTAATCTCGGTGGCATGTTGTTTGAATATTCTCTCTTCTTGCTGAAGGCGGCTAAGTGTGTTTAGTCCGCAGTTTATTTTATTCTGCAAGCCACACACTCGAACTTCAAGTTCCACTCTTTCCTGCAAGACTTCCTTTGTCAGAACAAGACTTCTGCTTTCCATTTCATTAAGACATTTAAAGAATTTTTCCAAATTTTTCATTCCCATCGTCCAAAACATTGAGCCAAATATAAAATTACTTTGCCTTTGGGAGTTGTCAGCGAAGAGTGCGCTGTTATTCAACGTGAAGTACATATCCTCCTTACCAAGGGCTCCGGCCTCTTGCAGAGAGGCTAAAGCTTGGGGTTTCTCGCCATCGGAAAAGGTGAATAGAACTGTTATGTTCTTCTCAATATCCTTGCCAAACATGGCCAGAATGCTGTCAAATACGTAACGTTGGGTGGGTGTGAGCCTTGGTATCCCAGCTTGAGCTATAAAGCAGATGGCGTCAATATGATCAATCCCTCCATCGCCACTGGTTTCGAAAAACGTGCGAATTTGATTCGTTATCATTTTATCTTGTTGTATTCCTTTCGTGTCTCCAAACCCAGGGGTGTCCACAATAGTAAGATTGTACGGTACCTGCATGCGAAAAGTCGATTTTTACAAAATATCTTATAGCGGTGTATACTCCATATGTACGGAGGTTTTACAGCAATATATAACTGCGATGTATAGTCCTGTGAACTGTGCTGCGTACAAGTTTTGCAATGTTGTATTTTAAAGTGCAGTTTGGCCGACTGCATATACGCCAACAGTAATGACATTAATACCATTCGAATAAGATTATATAGCTGTTATAAGTTAATACGACACGTCAATTTTAGCCTTTAAAACTTTCCAAGAATTTTCTCCATTTCAAAAAAATGTACAATTCGGATGAGTACATATTCTGTACTACCATACTATACGGTTATACGGTGATAAACTCGTGATGTTTGCAAATTTTGCCAAAAGCTAAGGAGCTGCGTTAGTGGAGAGTTTTTGAAATCTGTGTATATGTCCGTGAAGTACAAGTCTCGCTGTTGGCAAATTTACATTTCTCAAAAGTTAAATCTTGTTGTAAGTTAGAAGAAAAATCGCTCTTACCTTGAAACCTTTCGAATGCAGCAAGGTGTAACAGGTGACAAAATGCGTCCGGTTGCGTGTCTGGTCCCCCATACTCTCTGATCCTTGCTTGGAAGAATCTTCATGAATCATTTTCAGTCGGAAAGAATCTTTCCACTCGACTCCGAGAATATAATTGACAATAGCATTTATTGTGGTAGTTTTTCCTGAGCCAGTTGATCCAACCATCATTATAACTTTATTTGGTATACTTGTTCTCGGAGCATCGTTTTCTCCGTCGTTGAGGTTTATCTCGTATTTACGTAATTGAAAAACACTATCTTCGAATACTGAAGTTAAAGGAAGAGTGTAGACAGCAGGTTCGCCGTCCTGAGGTGGCTGGACAAGCTGACACAAACCAAGGATTTTGTCTGGTTGAAACGTTGGCTTTCGCGCGAAGGTCGAAAATACGTCGCTGGAAGGACTGTTGTTGCTTTCTCCCGCGTCCCCACAGTTAGCTGTGACTCTGAAGACAAATGACATTGACGGATGAAGATTTTTTAGAGTATACCTTGGCGTTGCATCGTCGGTCTGTTCCATCTTTCGAGTTTTCCAGTCATCTTGGCTCCACTCGACTTTATAGTTGACGATCTGAACATCCTTTCCGAGACGTTGTGGTTCTTTGAAAACAATTGTTAGTGATTCAGATGTAGCCTCTTGTAGTTCTGGTTTACCAGGAGGACTGGCTGGCTTCGTACTGGCAGAAAATACCTCACTGTACTTACTTACAATGATTTTTCGTACCGCGCAGATTCGGATGAAGTATTTCGTTGCTAGTTTAAGTTCTGTAAGAGTGACAAAATTCCGAACTTCGCCGCTGGATTTAACATCAACACTTGACCACGTATCTCCGCCAGCTTCATCCTGGTATTGAACCTTGTAATTCGTTACAGTGTTCTCAGATTGACCATCCCAGGAAATTTGCAACGTACTTTCCTCTGCTTTTTCTAATTTCAGGTTGTTAGGCGGGGGCTGTGAGGTCAGATCTTCGTTCTCAATATCTCCGTCTTCATAGAAGTAAATAAAAGCCCCTGTTTTACCCTCGTAGTCATGGGGGAGCGGCTCATCAGTCACGAGAAATTCCACACAACAGTTTTCTTTATTGACCGATTTTAGCGTCGTGAAATGCCCCAATGCTTTACGTATTTTCTTGTATGTCAATTTTTCGTCAGCTTTGAGGGCATTTTTTGCAACGCTTTCACTTGACCCGTCGCCATCAATCAGATAGGCATCCATTTTCAATATCTGTTCGTCTTCTTCGCAGGCAATTTTGAACGTACAACAAACTATAAACTGAATTTCATGATTATACACTTCATCCTGTACAGCTTCTGGAATGACGACTTGAGTTTCTTTAAGTGGACGAATTAAACCATGTAATCTCTTCATTTCTTGTTTCTTGCATCCAAGCCAATGTGTGAGGGCTTCGCAAGAAAACGGCGATACTTCCTTTTTTTCAATGATTTGAGCAAGCTCAATTTCGTCTACTCCGCCACCTCGAATTTGAGGAAGAACTACCAGTATTTTCTTCTGTAGAAAGAGTTTGTACAACTCAATCGTTTTCAAATAATGTTTAAGTTGTCTTCCTATTCTTGGAAAATGAACGCATATATCTTCTCTCATCAGATCATTGCATTCTGCTATCACAGACTGGAGGTGCTCTTGGATTTCAGCTGATTTTCTAATTAGACTTGAGCTGATCTCTCTTACTAATCTTTGGCATTTGCTGTCGATTGAACTCAATGGGCACAAATATACTTTAATTGGAACTGCTTTTTCTCCGTTCTCACCAATCAATGAAGGTAACTGTTTGTAAATTTTTACTGCATCTTCGTAATTTGTTGGACTTTCGCTGGTACGGAAATCTCCATACATCTGGCAACGCATGTTTTCAGCGTTTTTCTTTTGTTCCTCAGTAATACTAACGGTCCCGTGTCCACCAACAGATAATCCTGGCAAAGATTGCACCAAAACTTCCATGTTTCCATGTACTTCTTTTAACGTTTCGTCCTTAGAGACTTCCTTGTCAAATACCATGAATGCCTTTGCTCCGTACAGTATACCAACCACAACATCCGTTGCCTCATCAGTATCAAACACCTCGGGATATTGAATTTTCCCCGTTCCTAAATGTTCCATGGTGAGATGTTTGAGTTCTGTAGTTGTTTCATATTTCAAGACAACCCGACATTGATTCTTTGATGTTTTGGTATCATTTAAATACTTTGCGGCGCCTTCCACGTTCACTAGCCCGAACAGAAAACTTAACTTTAGGCTTGCTTCTATGTCAAGAGCACTCGTCTTATCTTCAACCTTGTTTTCTGTGAAAACTTCAGAATTAGTGAATGGTTGGGGTCTAGTGTTGATAGCGGCTTTCAAATTATCCGGAGACCATAATGTTATACCAAGAATCAACTTTTCAGAGCGACGATCGTAAAGCATCCCTAAGCCAAATGGTCGTCCCACAGCTGAAATGATTTTTGTCATTTTTTCTGTAAAGAACAGAAAATTGTAATGTTTCGTAATTACGTAAGGGTTAATAAATGGCTACGAGTGCGATACGGTATTTTGATTTTCCAATAACCAAAAATGCATTTGTTAAGTGTTTTCCATTTTAGAGCTTTGAAATATATTTCACCGATTCAAATAATAATTTAAAAGCAAGTTCATTTATTTAAAAATAAGCTTTCGGATAAAATAAATGCGGACTGGTGCAAAGTCTTCCCATCTAATTTGTTTACCGCTGAGCCCGACGGGACGCTGCCTGATCCTGCACGTGTACGCCACAAGGCAATTTTTTTATATGGAAATACGTTTATTAGAACTAGGGAAATTTACAATAATCGATCATGCATTAAAACTAAGTATAACAGTTCTTCAGACTATTTACAAAAACTACTTAACTAGACTACTCGCTAATGTCAGACAACGTAATGTCATTAGTTGATGTGATGGACGCAGTCCTCCAACTTCGACTGCCAGGAACACACACCACACGAGCTCTAAGCAAAGCAAAGGAGATCTTTCTTCGTAACAAGCTAACCACCATAGATGGAGAATGATTCTTCATGTCAGCAAGCTGCGCACCCAGGAAGGAGAGAGAATGTTCGGTCTCTCTTCCGCATCCGCCAAAGGCGCTGAAGACGACCGGTGTGAAGGAGCCATGCTCGATTTCAACAATCCGTTGGTTGCAATGTCGTTTCTTTTCCCGTTCGTTAGCTTTAAACGAGCTGCTCAATGTCTGGCGTCGATGTGTTGAGGCGTATGGGTTACACACCCTTAAATCAAAAAATGCCTTTTCACATCTCTGCCAAAACCTTCTCGCAGCAATGTCCACTCTGGCGTCATCGGCTGAATTAGCACTGGATGGAAAAACCTCGCCAGTCAAAGGAGCAAGGGTAGGTTCAATTGAAACATCGTAAGCAACGTCATTGATAGCAGCAGCAAGTAGATTACGGATCTCATTATATCTTCGATGGATGAAGCCTCCTTTGAGGCACGACAGGGCATGATCCACCGTGAACGATTTTCCACAGGCGCAGAAAGATGGAAGGCGTTTCAAAGGCCATCGATAACGCATGTAGGTTGCATCAAAGAACTCACGCTTGGTCAAGATGTAACAGCCCTCATCAGCAAGTGGCAGAGCTGTTAGCCAAGCTGAGGATCCTTTCAACTCGGCGAGGTCATTTGCTTGAATCTGCTTCTCACTCATGCTCCATCTCAAGTTTTGCGATCTCACGGCAAAGATCGTGGATGGAATCTTCATGTTCTGCTGATGGTGTACCATTCTGGTGGATGATTCTACTTGAGAGAACATGACAGATGGTTGTGGAGTTCAAATGCTCTTCATAACAGATGTCGTTGAAGATCGGAATACCAAGACCTCCCATACGGGCTGGAAGCGAAACCAATTGTCGCTCATGGGTGGACAAACTACGGTTATCGAGGAGCGCAGGAAGGAGCTTCAGGTTGATGGTGTCAATAAGCTGCATCGCCGTCTTGATACCTGGAACGGTACGAATGTGATAAGTAAATCTGTGCCGAAACGAGACAGACGCTGTGTATGCTGCTTGGGTTTGGACTTTGGCAATTTCACTCAAAACGTGAAGTTGCTGGCACCATTTACTAACTAAAAAACTAATATACTTATCTTTTCCGTCATCCGATCTAAGATATCCTCAAAGGTACCTATGCACTTCACTTGAAATTCGTAATTTCGTACATTAGTTCCAGCAAAGATTTCAATGGCAGTCTGCTCCAGGTGTGGCTTCACAATCAACCAGGATTTATCAGCTCGTGGGTAGTAACCAAGACTCGGACCATGCACGGCAATCTTCTCCCACCAGGCACGCAGTTGCATTAGCTTACCTGCACCACTAAGATCATCCGCGTACGCAACATGCCTTACATCACTAGCTTCATCAGATTTAATCATGAGCAGGAGTGGAGTAATGGCGACGGCGTATAACGGCATGGCTAACGGATCAGCTTGCGTGGTACCTTCCGCTGATGCAATTTCTTTACCACCTTGCTTGAACGTATTTATAAACAGCTATTGCAGGACAAATGCACTGAATGTTATGTAACATGATCTTGCAGTTGATGGAATTGAAGTCACTGGTAGCGTCCAGCAGTAACACAACATCTGTTCCTACTTCTTCAAAAATCTCCGACATGGCGTGAACAGTCTCCGACGGCCGGTGCTATGCATAATTTGTGGCTTGATGGCAAAAACAATTGATTTTCCAATGATGTCGTTCAACCTCTCCAATCCCAATCGGTCTGACGCCAGAATTCTTGTCCTAAGGTATTAAGCGACACGCTAAGAAGGCCTCTAAGCTGGTGGTCTGATCTGGTCCAATAAAGACCCTCTGGGTTGCAAGTGTTCTCGCCATTAACGCTATTGCGGATCGTAGGTCTTGGCCAGCATCTCCATAGTTGCGAGATACCAAAATATGTCGCCCTCCAACCTTGAGTCCTCAATGCTGCTTTCGCTATGGCTGTCTCGTCGATGTTGGCAAATAACGCTGGATCAACATACGGAATTTCACCATCAATCATGACGGAATGGTCCTCAGTTTGTGCAGGTGGATGTTTCTGCAAAAGGTCCTTGTACATAGCGTCATTAAGAGGAAGAACTCCACCAGATGATTGTTCATCCAACAAACGAAGTTCCCTTGTTGCCACAAAGTCATGCCCCGAGACAGACAAGTCACATGGTCTTGAAACTCGGTTTCATGGTCGTGAAACATGATTTGAAACTTGATTTGAGCAGACATGATCATAGTAAGTTTTAAAGAAATATCATGCAAGATCTGTGAGTTACTGTTCCAAGCGTTAATCATTCTCTCCAATTCCCTGGCGTATAACTTTCCAGCAGCTCCACTTGGTAACATAAACAGATTTTTGCCCCAAAAAACCACCTCTTCATAGGCTGCGTTAAAAACCTGTTTCAGATCATCTTTAGTGTGACTGCCCAAATACATGATGATCCGCTATTTTGAAAACTTGATGAGTAACCGCATCGATAACAAGAGAACAAGGGATACTTGATATTTCTCCGTCTTGTTGACGCGCTCAGTTGCGTGTTTTTCCCTGCACCAACTTAAATGTAGCGACCATCCTTGTTCCGAACCAAATCGTCTCAGGCACAAATAACATTCACCGTCTTTGTTTTCTTGAGACTAAGTTCTAATTAGCGCGTGCCGACTCGTAATCAACAAATGAAAGTTGAATCCCGTTGCACGCAGTAATGTGCAATAAATTTTAAAAAATTGCGGAGCCCTATTTTCCCCCTCTCTACCGGAAACAGTACAGCCTATCCATTAACCAATAAGGGCTCACCTTCATGACATGTTGAAACAAAGTGCTGCTGAAACGAAATTTTTATATTTGGGTATTTGAGCTATCGCACAATGAATTCTGTCGACGGGAACGTGTTTAAAATTGCGATCAAATGTGGCATTTTTGCTTGTTTTGATCATATGTTTTGATGCGAAATTTAACTTGCGCGCTGTATGTCAGGACGGAAGTTAAATTTAATAAGCTATAAGCCTATAAAGATATATAGGTACACATTTGTAGTTTTTCAACTCAAGTTTAGTTTAGTTTAGTTTTAACTTTCCTTCACGCGGATTCTGTAAACTAGCAAAACAATTCATGCACGTAGGTAACCCACATTCACAAACACTTGTAAAGGTCTTCAATATAAATAATTTTCCGGAAATAGCGCAATCCTTGACGCATTCTGTCGTTATTTCTCACGCAAGTATAATCAGAGAAAAACTGTAACTTGCTTGCTCGGCAATGATATAAGAAGAACAATTTCCGTGGAGTTAGGTAGCGTGAATAAAACGATACACTGCATGCAAGTTAAATATGGCGAGCACACAGGATTATGCAAAAAAACCTCGCGGAGGAAAATACTGGTTGCGGGATGGCCCATGCAACGGGAAAAGCTGCAAAAATAGCCAACATAAGAAGGTGTTTCTGTAGATCGTTTCGCTATGAAAGATAGGCTGAATTAATGGACAACATTTGTAAGAAGGCGTCGACCAAAGTTCATTCCTCAACATTATTCTGTGCTGTTTTCAATGCACTTTGCCGATTCCGCATTTACTTACTGCGTGTTATCGCAGAGGTCGCTAAAGTGCTAAATATGAGACGACAGCTATGCCCTGACGCAGTTCCAGCAATAGACTCGATAGAAAAAAATTATATGTTGAATATTTCATACTTTCATTAGTTTCTTTTCTGTGCGGACTTGTAGCCAGCAATTCATTGCAATTTCGTAGTGATAAAACGACGAAGCGAGGGTAATCATTGTTAATGAGCAGCGATTCACTTAAATAGTTTCATTAGAATATTACAATAAGTAATTGCATGATCAACGTATTTTGAACACCAGCTAGCGGTGGGAAGATGTTCGGTTCATTTCATATTAATGGCTATTTTCTAAAAGGCCTGATTTGAGATCTGAAAATTGCAAAATACAAGAATCGGGAAATAATTAGGCATACTACAGGGTGTATCAAAAAAAATGTCCCAAATGTAAAATTTCCGTTTTTCAGGATATTATTTTCAGGATTCTTGCAAATCGCCAACGCTACCACCGGCAAATCTAGGCGAATGGACAGACAAATGGTTCGCTGTTCAGTGTTTAGTATGCTCAGACAAGCCGTAGTTTGCTTAGAATGAAATGGTGGACATGCTGAGGATTAACATCACGTATAAATCGCTTTGTTTATGTGTTCAGTTTCTCGCTTTAATTTATTCATTTGCCCACCTTGCATGAGATCGGTCACGCTAAAATCAACGATGCATTTAATCCACTGCGCGCAATGAAATATTTGTCACCTTTAGGGGTCGCGCGTTGCTCCCAGTTTGCATTAAATTTTCTGAAACTTTGACAGTTTATTAAAGAGCTTTCCCACTTTTAGACAGCTAAATAATATCTCAATTTCAGCTTCACCCGATTTTCGCGCGCAAGCCCTCTCAATATCAGTGGAAACGAACCACCCCCCCGGTAACATAATTTTGTTAATGAAAAACCAAACTTGGCCTAGGTATACCAGATAAGTCTTAACTATCTCTAGAAACACAAAAATTTGCCAAATTCTGCAAAATATCCTGAAAAACGGAATTTTTACATTTGGGACATTTTTTTTGATACACCCTGTATATAAAAAAAATAATTATATTACGCATTTTGCACGTTAGGTACCTGGCTATTTTTAAAGGTAAATATAAAAGTTTATATGATACCATAAAGCAAGTCGTACACTTTCTTTCATATAGCGTAATTGCTGGATATCGGCTACATTTTCTTGAAAGCACGTCCGGCGCTTTCCCAAGTTTATTGTTACAAATCTGGTATAAGATAAAATTCGGGCACATTGTATAACTAAAAAATTCGGGTGATTTTTTTTTGCCCCCCTCCCCCAAAACGAAGTTGCACCCGTACGCCTATGGTCACCTGCTTCAAATAATGTAATAAATCAGATACATGATCTCTTGAAAGAAAGCTTCAGAGAAACAAGTAGAAACAATTTTTAATGATAACCTCAGAGAACGACAAAAACGCCTAGCAGAGCTCGAGGGCCAAGTGCAACTCCTAATGTCCACTATTGACCAACCAGGAGCATCCACAGCACCTACTTCAACCAACTTTTCCACTGTTAAGGCTCCCTATACCAATGAAAAGGGATATCATAGCAGCAGTTCGGGACGAAATCAGGAAAGACACACAAAATGCCCCAGCACAACGACACGAATTCAGCGTAGGTAACAGATATCCCCGGCGAGACAGCAGAGGACGAAATCTTCGAACAACAGACCGGCAGCCAATCTGCAATACCTGCCAAAGAGTTGGAAGCAGGTACGATCAGTTTATCAGCTCGCCCCCAAAGACGGTATGTCCCTCCTCCCCAGCCCCCTTATCATAACCATCAGTATCCCCTAGCACCACTACCACACCCTGAGAATAATGCTGGGTATTTAAACTCCCAAGGGCCTTCCATATGGGGACACAGGGGGGCCCGCAAGTAACTGAATATTCCCCACCAAATCGATATCATAACAGCCTGTTATCCAAACACACCTGGGCAATTTTAATGAGCATTATTCACCACATGTCCAACCCAACCAACAAAGTCAATTCATATACAAACACAACCACCCCCTCTAGCCTCTACATTGCCTAGAGATATTAATGTTACCCTTAAATTCCCAATGCCAAATGTACGTAATAGATCCGAAATTCCATCCATTTCCCCATCAACTAATGTCCTGGATCAATCAACCCAATTCAGTAATCTCCTGATAAATGGTACTTTATCCCTAACCCCTATACAAGTTCTTGTAGACACTGGTGCTGCTGTGACAGTAATCAGTACAGAATTTTACCATAAAGTTTTAAGTACATCATCACTCTAGAAAATAGTGAAGTGCTCCGATCGGTCAAAATAGCAAACGGTGCTCACATACCAATTGAAAGCGTTGTGACCTTTGATCTCACTCTGGGGCATACAAAATATAGCTGCAGCGCCTATTTAGTGTCCGCGTTCTCGGTCGCGACTTTCTGCAACAAAACTGAGCCATCATCAATATGGGCGCCCATACCGTTGAATTTTTGGGTGATAATGTGCTCATGTTTGCCTCTGGTATGCCCAGATATACAAGGAAATATCCTTCTCCGGTTACTAAATCCAACTGATGAGCCTGTTATAATCTTCCGTGGTGCCACATTAGGATAATTCACACAAAGCGATTTCGAGACCACACCTATTACTGATCCGCCCACCTCAACGTCATGTACAGGATTACCCACGACAACTCAGAAAAGCACCCAACTATCTATTATCAATCCCTTGTCAAGCACAATCCACCAATCTGATTTGGCTGATCTATAAGACCCACCTAGAATACCACCCCCACCAAGCCCAACTCCCCTTCAGCCAAGCCCTCTGATTTTCCCAACATGACCAACTCCGTGTTGTCTTACCCTGAGAAACAAGCCCTCTCAGAACTGCTTATTGAATACACCGACGTCCTGTCTGATTCAACCAAGAGTTTGGGTCGAACAAACCTGGTCCAACATAAAATTGATGTCGGGCTGGTCCCCCAATTCGCCAACCTCCATACAGGGCCCCCCACACCAAACGACGAGATATTGAAAACCATGTTCAAGAAATGCTGCAGGCAAACTTGATCCAACCTTCCAATAGTCCGTGGAGTGCTCCAGTTGTCCTGTTCAAGAAAAAAGATGGCTCATCCCGCTTCTGTGTAGACTATCGTAGGCTCAACTCGGCTACACGTAAGGACAGCTATCCAATTCCACGAGTAAATGATGCTTTAGATGCTCTCTGTGGAGCCAAATACTTCAGTACACTCGCCTTCCTACCGGTTATCATCAAGTCGAAATGGACAAATCATCTCAACAGTACACAGCCTTCGCCACGGCATCGGGTTTATACGAGTTTTGTGTGCTACCTTTCGGTCTGTGCGCGTGAAGTCCACCATCCACCTTCCAACGCCTAATGCACCAAATACTCCATGGATTG